CCCACTGAACAACAGCTCCGTTTTAAACAACTTTCTTTAAACAACCCAGTTGGTGTAAACAACCCCCACTGAACAACAGCTCCTTTTTAAACAACTTTCTTTAAACAACCCAGTTGGTGTAAACAACCTCCACTGAACAACAGCTCCGTTTTAAACAACCGTCCTTAAACAACACCGGTTGTTTAAATTGTGATTTTAAACAAGTTGTTCAAAATGTTGATCAACTTAGTGTTTAAACTTTAAACAACTCGAGTTGCTTAACATTTTAAACAACTCTTAGATCAGGTCACCCGTTAATCAAGAGTTGTTTAAACTTTTAAACAACTTGTTCACAAAAATTTTAACTGTGTAATTTCAAATGAACTATCTGGTAATTCAGTTTTCAGAAGTCGATTGGTCTTAAAAGTTCTGTTATTTTGTTAATAAAAAAACAAAAATCACCACCACAACTGCCACCACAGGCCTATAATTATCATCATCATCATCGTCGTCGTCATCATCATCATCATCATTATCATCATTATCATCATTATCATCATTATCCTCATTATCCTCATTATCATCATAATTATCATTATGACCAACGCCATCACCTTCACTTGTTATTTTGATTTCTTTACAGAAACAAAAAGACAAGTTTTGAAACAGTATTTGGTTGTACCAGTTAGGCCCAATGATTTATTTATGTTCGTATTATGCTTATTTTCTCTCTTCTCTCGCTCTCTCTCTCTCTCTCTCTCTCTCTCCCAAATCTGGTGTTCATTATTTTCATCAATGCATTAATGACCACGGTGACCATATCCCATGTTAACTTCTGTTCTGCATTGTGCAGCGTGTCAACGTTGGACCCATGCAGCCCCCACCCCTAGCTTTAGCGCATCCACGGAAATTTTGTCCTTGCTACTACAGAATCGATATCAATCTCTCTTGGTTGTGTGCTGGACTGCAGTTCTTGTTGGCAATGGACAGCATGGTTAGATGATTTCCTATTTGCCAGCCATTGTAGCCTCCTCTTTTCCCTGTCCTCATCAATACTGCTTTCTTCATCATTAATTGGTTGTGATTGATTCAAGTCTGTTGTCATATCATGGGAATAACCTTGGTGAGGTGCGTCAAGGTTGTTATAGTCATCCAAAATTATCAATTCGTTTTTGATAGGCTGGTCAATAAAAGCACTCGATGAAGGCGGCAACCTGCTATGTCTTCGGGTGGTCATCCTGGTTTTGTCTAATCTTTTGAACTGTTTTGATAAACGAAAGCATACGAAAGGAAGGTTGATAATTACATTTTATTACATTTTATTACATAAATACATTTTTTATTACTTTTTAAATTCATAATCCCAAAACAGATTTAATGATTATTGTTTAAACCACAATTGTGAAAAGATTCGTGCCTCGAAAATAATTTATATCAGGTTCAATTTACTTTTCTAATCAAAAGATTTCTTCAAGAAACGAAGTTTGAATAAGCAAGGGGACAGGCTAAAGAACAAACCTGGAAGTATCCAAAATCTGGCAGTTGTGTATCGTTGTCGTCTCCTTCCAACTCCTCGTCCTCCTCCTTCTCCTCTTCCTTCTCCTCCTCCTCCTCCTCCTTCTCCTCCTCTTCCTTCTCCTCGTCCTTCTCCTCCTCTTCCTTCTCCTTCTCCTCCTCCTCGTCATTCTCCTCCCCTTCCTTCTCCTCCTCTTCTTTCTCCTTCTCCTCATCCTTCTCCTCGTCGTCCTTCTCCTCGTCCTTCTCCTCCTTGTCCTTCTTCTCCTCGTTCTTCTTCTCCTCCTCCTCCTCCTCTTCCTTCTCCTCCTCCGCGTCCTTCTCCTCCTCCGCGTCCTTCTCCTCCTCTTCCTTCTCCTCCTCGTTCTTCTCCTCCTCGTCGTCCTTCTCGTCGTCCTTCTCCTCGTCGTCCTTCTCCTCCTCTTCCTTCTCCTCCTCCTCCTCCTCCTCCTCCTCCTCCTCGTTCTTCTCCTCCTTGTCGTCCTTCTCCTCGTCGTCTTTCTCCTCCTCTTCCTTCTCCTCCTCCTCCTCCTCGATCTTCTCCTCCTCTTGCTTCCCCTCCTCCTCCTCGATCTTCTCCTCCTCTTGTTTCCCCTCCTCCTCGTCCTTCCCCGTCAAAGACATCTCTCCATTAGTCTGGATGTCTTCAGACTCTTCATCGTAGAATTGATGGCTCTTCAGCGATGCAACCACTCTCCTGGCATCCCTTTGGATGATGGACCGGTGAAACCTGTCACGGGCCAGTCTAAGCTGTGTCAACTGAAGTTCTGCAATATCCTGTGGAATAACATATTTGAAAGGTAATGATAATTTATTAGAGTTATCTTTGAAAAATAGCCATACGAGCACTTACGATTTCTTACGATTACTTACGAAATTGTACAAATCTGTGAGATATGAGAGATTTCAGGTCACCTTTTTAACCAGTATTATCTCCTTTTTTTTTACGTGAGAATTGTTAAAACGGCTAAATAATGACCTTGAACAGAATGAAAATAAGCCCACTGTTTTGACGTCCCCCCACCCAAAAATATACATTAATGGGAGAAATGAAGAGTGGGAGAGAGAAAAACAAGTTGAAAAATAGAGTAAAAGAGAAAGAAAGGGAGCGCCAAAGAAGGAGGAGGTAAGACAGAAAGATACAGATCAAAGACAGAGAGAGAGAGAGTAACAGAAAGCTAGGCAGAAAGAGGAGGGGGAAAGACGGATAGTGACAGGAACAGAGATGAAGAAAGAAAGAACAAGAGATTAGAGAAAGGGATAAAGGTAACATACTCTTAAAAGTTGCATTCGACTTTCCAGAGCATAATCATCAACTGATTTCTCCGTTGTGTTGTCGCCATCACAACTCTCTGTTCGTCCGTCCCCCAAATCTAACGCTGCAACGGCATCTCCTTGGGAAAAATATATTAAATCCTCTTACATTATCAAATTATAAAATAAGTGTAATGTTTGAAGTTATCGGTTTAGAAACCTTTATAACCCATGTATAACATGTTTTTTTGTTTAAAGATTAAAAGAGAAGCCCATGGGGATTCACGTTCTCGATTTGTTGACATTATTTTGTCCAACTGATACCAAATGAATAAATTGGTCAATCAGTTTTTAAAGGTTGATTGGTCTTAAAAGTAAACAAATATTTTGAAAAAAGGGGGTGGGGACGGGGACTTCGACTATACCATTTGCAAGTTTGTGCAAGATGAATATTACTATGGGAAATTATATTTGTTTTAAAAAAAATTGATAATAAAACTAAAGGTTGGGAAAAAAATAATTTGAATTGCCTTTTTGTTGTTGTTGCTGAGTTCTACTTTTTGAAGAAAGAACCATTTCCTTGTTAGTAGATATAAAAGTTGTATACGAATATTATTATATCAGGAGTGTCCCCTTTCTTTCTCCCCCGGCCCCTCACCCTTACTCTTTGATTATATTTCTCTCTCCAACCCAATCCTCCCCATTTGTACTGAACTATAATTCAATAAGCGTTTATATATCTACATATATCATGAGCTTCAAATTGTCAAATTGTATTTCCTACCGTTCCCAATCCTTTCGAAAGATTTACTCTCTTCGACGATGTCCAGCTTGAATCCAGTACTTTGGGATTCATCAATGTCGTCGAAGACGTATCCGTCCTCGTTTTCATCCTGACGATGAATTGGTTTGCTGCGTATGCACCCCATATTTATTTAAAGCAAACAAAGCAAATTCGAATACTAAGTAAAGAACTCAATATACCGATGATATTCGCAAGTGATTGAATAAAACACTGGTCATACAGTAAGTAAACAAAGTAATCACCATACACACCACGCGAAACCTAGCGCATTCTGTATCTGACGTCATAATGCATGCGCATCCATGCTTATGACATTTTAGATGATAATGGTGTTATTGTAAAAGAATAGCGGTATATTTAAGCTTCTAGCCAATTTGTTACCCCTCGAAGATCAAGACGATTTTTACTTTTAATGTACCTTTTTATCATCAGTTTTGCAAATTATAATACATTATCACAATGGATGGAATAGTAAATTATCAAAATATCACACTGAGAGATGTTAGTAGAAAATTTTGGAATTGGTTAGGGCATCCTTTCAGAAGATGTTACAGGGGATATTCAAATAAGTCGATGTGGGAGGGGCTTCGTCACCCTGAGCAATGTTTGGTGTTTTGAAGTAGATAAGGCATTTCACGATGCATAGCAGTACTGTTCATAGAAAGCAATTCATATTTAATAATCTGCATAATATTATGTTCCTGCTGTGGATAATGAGAGACAGGGTACTCTTCTCACCAGTGAACAAGAAGACTTATAAATGAATTGTTAATTATTCAATACTATAACAATAGTTGTTTTTTCCCCTATATCCTCTTTTGAGGTTGGCCTATTTATGCCATTAAAAACATTACATATCAGCGATGCACAGAAGCCTAGAAGTAGGACATTGACCATGCAAGGGGAAGGAGGAACATAATATGACAATTTTCCCCCATATAATCATGCAACGCTTAATCTGCCCATCATGCATTTTAATCTTTCTTAAATATGTTCTCTTTTTTATGCTAACATAACGTGCTATACAAAGGGGTGATATTAGCTATAACTAGTATAAGCTCGTCTTGGTCGAGATACGATAAGACGCACAGCAGCTACAATTCTCCATCATGTGATATAAAGGGCTACACCGCGCCCCATAAAACAAAATCAGATCAATCCTTTTAGACGTCTTTTTTAAAAATTATTATTATTTTATTATCATTACTATTAAAAAATAAAAAATAAATATTTTATTTGTTTGTTTGTTTGTTTCATTTTTGTCATTCTTTTATTTTTATTTTTTAATTTTTTTAATTTTTGTGCTTGCTTGCTTTTCAGAGAATTCGGGAGTGAAAAGGCACCGGGAAAAAAAAAAATCCTCAATCTGCCCCTGCTATATTTTCACCATTTTCTGCGCTCGAGCTCGCGATCGCGCAGTGCAAAATTGAATTGCGCGCCACCTTGTGACAAAAAATCGCAGAAGCCGACAGTTTATTGCCACCAGAAATTTCTAATATTACTGATTATATTTTCAATTAAACGATCCACTGGCCACTTACAATATTCTTCACGTTCTCTATTTTCCGGGATCATAATTGGAGGAAAATGGGGGCCATCTTGGCCAAGTTCCGGGTGAGTTCATGGCCGGTGATAATGTATTTAGGTGCATAAATGGGCAGATTGAATTTAAAGACTTTACTTTGGTCCCATACATTTAAATATATGTTAGTGGGTTTCTCTTAACAGTGCTTAACTTGTTGAAGTGAAGTGAAGTGAAGTAAAAAAATAACTTAAACATGTATTGTCGGTCAAGGTCATATAGATGGTCCTGTGGTTTTGGATGGGGACGTGGGATTAATCATTGCGCAACAACACATTCCCTGCGACAGTCACAGAGTCATTCATGATTTAATTTTAGAGTCTAGACTAGTAGACCTAAGTAAACTTTACTAATAAATTGGATTGACCGGGTTTTGAATTTATCAGCTTGCAGTTTGTCAGTTTGTTAATTTTACAATCTTTCACTTTACATTTTTATTTTTCAATTAAAAAGACGTCTGGCTTTTCTTGTCAATTGAGGTCTAACTTTTAACAGTTTAAATCTACATGAAATTGTATTTGACGACGGCACTAATGGAGTAATGGCATGCCAAAATGTTACTGTTGTCAGTGTTGAGCTGTCTTACTTTTAGAAATTAACTTCCTACCTCTAGTCTACAATAACATTGATTGTATATTGATTTGATAAGAAAATCAACCAATTTTATTTTGAATTTAAAAAATATAAAGCTCACTAGATCAACTCAGATTTTAAGTGTTTTAATTCATGAATGATAAATGATCTGAATCATGATTTGTCTTTAAACAGAAAGGGAAGACTACAGTGGAGATATTGGAAGGGATCGATAAAGACATCGACGGGCTACTTCGATCTAAGCGACGTAATGTCGAACTGGAGAAGCACTATATGGGCAGCTTACTGCTCTACTCGGTCATTGGATACCTGATAATGGCACTCTTCTTCTATTTCCTCTACAATGCTACGACTTGGCTACAGAGAGTTGTTCAGATTTTACCACTTCTTCTCTTTCCCTTCTTGTAAGTACATAAATTAAACAGTGTATGTGATTGTGATGATGCCTAGGACAGTCTTATCATATTCATTGATTGAACCTTAAAAAAAAAATATTTGAGAACATGGAATATCACATAAGATATTGGCAATCAAATAACTTTCTATTAATGATTATAATCTTATGCATTCTTTTTATTTTTCATGCAGAATTTGGCTGATACGGAAAGCGTTACATTGGTACTTTGTGAAGAGGATCGCTAAAAATGGTAAGCATAAACATGTGTTGAAAGAATCAATCATAGGCCCAAGCCGACTTGGGACTTTGTTGCAAATTAAATGCTGTACTAGTGTAGAAGAACACCAGAATTGATTGAAGCAGGATCAGATTTACTTAGATTAACTAGATTACCCAATACCCAGTACTCTGACATTAGTTTGGGGATTCCATGTTGAAAATAAGATTAAAAAATTATTTTCCTATCCTCATGTGTGATCTGCCCTATCCGAGTTCCAGGTAATACAAAAACTTATTAGGAAGTTTATTAGAAAGAACTTAGTGTGAATTCTAAAGCCCACCACACTACACAAACTGATTTTGGAATAATTTGCAATAGGACTGCAGTAGCATTAGAAATGGACATTAACACTTGTCAAATCTTAATGACCGAAGATCTGAATAGTCATGATTAAGAAAATCTAAATTTCAAGGGATATCATGCTTCTTTGGAAGAGGAAAAGCTATACCAGCTCAAAATCATAGTGACCTTAGGGCAGTAGTACCATTGTCTATGATTTGAAGCAGATTCATCTTTTATTTTGGCTAGAAAATTTCAGTGCACTAAAATCCTAATGTTGGTAATCTTATTATTTAGAAGCTAAATCAGGAAAATGATGTTTGTTTTGATTCCTCTTTCTCTAGATCTTGCCCTTGAAGAATTGAGGAACAAGAAAAAGACCGTTGTAAGTTGATGTTTTTTTCTTCTGAATCTCAAATTTGCAACTTCATTTGTGGAGTAAACAGCTCAGAAGTATTCATTTGAGTTGAATTTGCAGAATCCCATGAAATTTACACTGAGACAATGTACATGTTGATTAAAGGAAATAAGCATTAAGGCTGCGACGAGTACTCGAATACTCGCACTAGGGCTGCGACGAGTAGTCGAATGCTCGAGTACCCGCACTGTTGACAACTGCTCGAGTACAATTTCTCGTACTTGAATATTCGGCCGCAATTTTTTTTTTTTTTTTTTTTTTTAAATTATTAAAAAAAAAAAAAATCAAACAAAATCACGGTCACCTTTCACAATCCAGGCCGACGCTTAACCGTGCCAGGGAGAGCGCCTGCCGCTGGCATGGTACCGTCAGTAAAAATGTTTCCCAGCTCAATCACTTTCAAACTCACCACTCAGAAACTGGGACCAAATGTCCGGATTTCTGTTTGGACTCGGAGGAAAATGGATTATTCTGCCATCTTTGGTTTTAAAACAGCATTGTTTACTGTTATTATTATTATTAAATTGGCGCCTTCAACTGCAATTCGAAGTAAAATCATGTGAGTTTTCGGAGACGGACCTGGGATACTGCTCCCGTAGTATGGTGGATGCAACAAAACAAAAAAACAAAAACAAAAAACATTGCGTCCCAAGTATTTGAGTATTCGCCTGTAAGTCTGGGAGTGTACTCCAGTATCTCATTACACGGTTAATAAGCGTAGAGTTCAACATGCATGTATATATGTGTGTGTCGATGTTTTCACCGTTTGTGATACAGTTAATTTTCAAGAAATAGCCCATTTACTCCATACATTATCAACATTTAGAGTCACATTTTGCCATTTTCTTTTGAAATAAAGTTCCATTCCTGACCTCGACTTAAAGAGAAGGTTGAGTTCTGGGAAGAGGTGACAAATAATTTGTGAGCGTTATCATCTTATTATGCAAGTGTGGAAGAACATCAGAAAAAAATATTTCCCTGAAAAGCATGGCTCGTTAAATGCCTTAATATTCTCAATATGACACGTAACAGCATAAAAATTGGGGCAGATTTTTATGCCACATGTTTGTGTAGTCCCATATACATCTTTCTGTGTACAGTGCATATAACTTTACCAAGACTGGGCCAAATTTTTATCATTTTGATGATTCCAGAACCTTGCAATACACACCACATGCTAGATAATCAACCTTTTTTGATCAATTCCACAACTTTTCTTTCACAATGCAATCGCATGACCAGAACTCAACTTTTTTAAAAAACTTCAACTGCATGCACATTGTTAATGTATATATTCTTGCAGCTAGAGGATGTGAAGGAAAATGAGAGTTATAAGAAAGCCAAAGAGATCCTTGAGAAGTTTGACCCCAGTGCGACCTTGCCACCTCTGACCCCCGTTCAGACACCAGCACTTGGGAGAGGACAAACACCAACACCAGGTACATCAGGGGGTGTTTCACAAAGATCCTCAGTTGAACTTATCTCTAAGTTGGACTTACCAATTATGGAAAGCCGTTAGCATCTTTGAAAATATTTCGTAAAATTTATCTTAAAAGGCATAAAATGTTGATTCAAACCATTCATATTTTCTTTCTATTATCAAGGAGATTTCATGTTCTTGATGTGGAATTTATGAAAAGTCTAAAATACTTTAATTTTTGCTTTTGAATATATTTTATTCTAAGGCTACAAATGGCTCTCCATAATATTTAAGTGCAACTTAGAGTTAATTTTGACTTAGGATCTTTGTGAAAAACCCCCCTGTATTCCATTTCATCCATCTTCCCCAACTTACTCCTGTCATATTACAAAGCATCTTGTGTATTAAATCTTACTATTTGTTTGCTGTTTTAATTTGATGAAGAGACAATTATTTCAATCAAACATCTGTGTTATCTTAGATGTGTAAAACTCATTAAATATGAAGTCAGCACAGATTTGAGTGTGTGTGTGTATGTATTGGGTTTTTTCCAGACGTCAATATCCGAAAGACGTGACTCAGTTTTGAACCTACTTCCTCGTCTGAATCCTCGGCGTCCTGCCATCTGTTTTTATAGCTATCAAAAGGATAATATATCTTTCCATATTTTTAACTCATTGCCCATTTCAAACCAAATGCATGGAGCTGTTATGTGTACAAAAACCTGGAAATCGTAAGTAGAGCGAGGAAAACTGCAGTTACTTTTAGAGTAGCTTTTATCAGTGGCAACTGGTATGTCCCTAAGATAGGTAATAAACTCTTGTCTGAATGTATCAAAGCTCCTCACAGAAAGTTGCTGCTGTATAAAAACTTGTATTAAAAAACAAGAACTGAAGACCCATCTTTTTCCACAGAGCTAGTCGTATTACATTGAAGCACTATGGTACTTCATACTGTATAGCGCAGTCTAAACGATGATTATTATTATTATTATTATTATTATTTTCATGATTATTATCATGATTATTATTATTATTATTATTATTATTATTATTATCATGGTTATTATTATGATTATTATTATTATTATGATTATTATTATTATTATAATTAACGGCCAGAAATGAAAATAAAAGGAATCCAGTCTGGATCTTGCCAAGATACAACAGAATTTTGAAATCATATGTGCTGACTGCTGACATGAATCCTCATGTGATGTGTGTACAGAGTACAGACAACATGTATATTATTATTATATATTGATTTTAGTTGTATATACAGCAGAAGGTAATACAATGCCAAACCATTGATTTAATCAATAGCAGACAGTCAACCTAATTTTCCTCCTAGTTTTATACTTTTCTTTTCTTTTCTTGTCTGATTCAAACAAATGGATTGTGAGTGAGTGGAATATATTTTCACTTAGCTATCATCAGTGTTGAGTAAATCTTTTTGTTTGCTGTTGTTGTTGTAGCTCTGCGCCAGAGACCATTCAGTGCAAGGGGCAGGGGTCGCGGAAGAGGATCTCCGAGCATGACCCCCATGCGACCTTCAGCTCGTCTAGGGAACCAACCAATGCTACAGTCACCTCAAGCTGCTATGATCAGTAAGTCCAGCAAGAAAGAGGGAGGGAGGGTGGGAGAGAGAGAGAGAGAGAGAGAAAGAAAGAAAGAAAGAGAAAGAGAAAGAGGAGGGAGGGGGGGGTATACATGTGAGATGTAATGTATGAATTCCAATGGAAAGTAATTTGTCTCTTTTTTGACAATGTGATTTGAATAGACTTCTGCTAATTCTTATAACAAAATTATACTTTTTCTATCTTTTTAAGGTCAACATGATGTTGAACACATTGTTGAACAATGAACACACCGGTCTGACCTTTTGACTACTCTAGTCTGATGTTATTCTTCAGTGGTAATTCATAGTAGCATTGTGTGCATTAACTTAGAAGACCTGTTTTCTTTTCATCAGATGGGAGAGCACTGGGGCCAGTTTCTGAAAACTGTCATAAATCTCAGTTCGTTGACATCCCATAGAAACATGTGTAGAAACTATAATGCACATTTCAATAGGATGTCCAAAAAGTTAGACTTATGACAGTTTTGTTTGAAAAAACGGCCCCCGGCTGTCCAGGATGGGTACTGGGTAGGTCAAAACACATGAAACCAAGAACATGCAACCCTATGCACTGAAGAAGAAAAAAAAAACATTTTGTTCTTGTTGAATTCAGGGTCTCCAGGCACAGTGAGACCAATCCTGTCGCAAGAGCAGACTACCTTTGACAAGTTGGTCGGTTACTTGGTTGGGGACGGACCTGGTAGCAGGTATGCTCTCATCTGCAAACATTGCTATTCACACAATGGCATGGCTCTACAAGAAGAATATGAATATCTTGGTAAGTTCAACTGTTATTCTTAATATCAGTACATGTTGATTGTTGAATGTGGAAGCTAGATGCAACTCTAAATCAAACTTACCAATAGCCTTTGGATGTAATTTTGTTGTTGTTGTTGTGTTTGGTGAACAAAATCTTTTGATATCTTTCTCTTTTGCACAGGAAATATTTGACTCAGCCATAGGCTGTCTCTTTAAATCTGTTCATATTTAAACTGTGTAAAGCATTTACAAACATTTGCACATACAAACATGATCAAATGTTTTAGTCCAAAGAATCAACACATGAAATCTATATACAGTGCGTCCTAGAAAAAACGAAACCGAGAATTATCAATGTTTTATCAAAACTCAATCACAATTAGACGAAAGACTTTATGCACGGCTGATTGTCAACGTAACTGAGTTAAGTCTATTGTCAATTCTGCTTGTTGCTACGGCAGGCAGCCAGTGAAAACGAATTCGTTTAACAAAATTATGGAAATGTAAGCACTACTTTAAACAAACAGAACTTTGTCATTCCTTGCTCACTTTCCTGATTGAGGTGTCATATGAAAGGGCAGAAACTCAACTTTCTAGAAATGTGATTTTCTTTTTGAAATTCAGATATCGTCCGCCAAATGACTTTTTGGTTTCCTCTCTTCATTTTTCATTTTAATCACTCATGCATGAAATATGCATTAAATGAGTTGCATCAAATGAAAGAGGAGGATCTGAGCTTTAAAAATATGTGTCATTTATTAATTATAAATGTGACTAAGTTATGATAAAACATCAATAACTCTTGGTTTCGTTTTTTCTGAGACGCACTAGTTATAAAAATCAATGAATGCATCATTTTACATATGAAATGCATTTATGAAAAGATCTTGTTTTCTTTACCATAATCTTTCAGGTCCAGTGCGCCTAAGCTTCCTAAAGCAACCTGTCTGTGACAGTGTTTAGTAATATTGTCTTTGATATAATTTTCCACACAGCCTTTAGGTGTGCCTACTGCAAGACCTTCAACCCGTCTAAGAAAGTCCGACCTAATGCTCCCAAGCTTCCTGAGACACCTGCTGTTGCATTTGGAGCAAGACTGGGTAAGACATTGGTTTTTAGTCGTATAGCAGAACATGGAAAGTGTTCTCAATATGGCATTTCATATTTGTTATGTCCAATGCCACCCAGGTGATGTAAATAGGGACCAGTTGGAAGGAATTCCTTGAATGCTATGAGCACCGAAATTGGTAGCCTAGCAGAGCCGGGGTAATATTGGAGCGCTTTGAGCACCTTGCAGGGTGGATATGTGCACTATATGAATATCCAATATTATTATTATTATTATGCAATCATACATGTACCTTTTTTTCCCGGTACCTGTCATTGTTTCATTTCCCTATAATCCTAGTGTGTTGAGCTAGCACTGTATCCATATGTAGGCATGTCTGTATATGCTTCTTATTTAACAAATATGTGCAATCATTGCGACATTGACATTAAGTTAAAAAATGAACCAATAATTTCTCACAAAAGTAATTCTTTATTATTATTCATGTTCTACCATTGTTTATTCCTCTGGAATTTCGTCCATCAAATCTTTAGGTTTCTAAGAAATCATTAAAGGATATGTATTTCTTATGAAAATTCATCTTTCTTTGACGACTGATTTTAACTTTTAAAGTTGGGATGATCTCAATGTAGAATTGGGCATGATTTTAAATGTATTCCCCATCTCTTTGTGTCTTCAGTAGATCCCGAGAGGAGAGGTTCTGGCTCCAATGCCAGTGGAAGTGAATTCAGCGGGTCTGAGACGGAATCCACATCCAGCCACCAGAACCAAACTGAAGAACCCACTACAACAATGGAACCATCAGCAGAGGTACAGAGCACAGAGGAAACTCCTGTAAAGGAGACTATCGAGAAAGAGGAGGAGACTATCGAGGATGAAGCGGGAGACCATATTGATGTTACTGAGAGTACAACAGAAACACCTGAAAGGAACGAAGCTCCAGAAGTAGAACAACTCAGATAACATTTTCTCTTTTCTACTTTATACAGTTAACGACTCAATTATTCATACCCTTACCAAGTTTGTAATTTTTGACAGCATGCAAACAAATTATTTGTCCCAATTTATATTCGTTGAGAAGGTGACCTATTAAAGCTTACATCTAAAAAGTATCCAACAAAGGCCCTAATTCAACCATCCACCTTTTATTCTACAGATACCATAAACACAAAAAACATCAAATTTCAAGTTTGTAATTTTTGACAGCATGCAAACAAATTATTTGTCCCAATTTATATTTGTTGAGAAGGTGACCTATTAAAGCTTACATCTAAAAGTGTTCAACAAAGGCCCTCATTCAATCAGTCTAGCTTACATTCTTCAGATACCATAAACAAACAAAAAAACATCAAATTTACAAGGGGTGTTAATAATTGAGTTGTTAACCCTATTGATGTCTGTTCATTTGCTAGTTTATACCAACGTTACTTTCAGAATGCCTGTACATGTGCTCAGTGTACAGTATTATTTTCCTATTACCTTCAGCCTTTTCATTTTACAAGTCACACCGTATAGAATTCAGTCAATCTTAAATCAAAGGGTGGGAATTAACAAGATACAATGAAACCTGTCTATAAAGACCACCCAAGGGAGACAAGAAAGGTGGTCTTTACAGGCAGGTGGTCTTTAAGTATTGTTTCCGTTAGTACATGTTTTAATGAGGAACCATTTTCAAGGGAAACAATTTATTTGTTGGTCTTTGTAGACAGGTGGTCTTTCGATACAGGTGGTCACTAAAGCAGGTTTGACTGTACAGGATGATATGTTAACATTTGCTATGATGTCATATTTGGAGACCTTAGATGAATTGCGAATTGTTGTATTTAATTCCTTAGGTCTTTATAGGCAGGGGGTCTTTACGTATTGTTTCCTTTAATACATGTTTCAATGAGAAACAATTTTTGAGGGAAAAAAAAAAGTGGTCTTTGGAGACAGGTGGTCTTTCTATACAGGTGGTCACTAAAGCAGGTTTGACTGTATATGATATGTTAATATTTGCTAAGATGTCATATAGGGAGACCTTAGATGACATTGTGAATTTTTGTATTGAATTCCTTGCAATTCTTGGCACCTTTTGTAGTTTGGCATATGATATATCGGTATAATATAAAGCCATATATGAAAGAGCATTAATCCCATTTATCTCCTTTGTGATATGTACCACAATTTGGTGTACCTGGTTATTGAATTAGTAGTCATGTGACAAATTAGAAGATATGTCAAAAATATGACATCGTTCATGAGTTTGGTTTCGGCACAGTTCAGTAAATGGACGGGTTGCTGTTCATGATGCTATGATAGTGATTTGTTGTATTCTTCTCAAAGTCAAAGGAATCTCACGTGAAGCCTACTAACTCACAAATGATGTTTGAAACTTGAGGTTACATACCGGGCGTTTTTTTAAATTTCTTTAAAAAAAAGTTTGAATGAAAGGCATTTGGGGATGAAGAAAAGTAGCTGCGTAACTAAGATCACATTTACATGTATACTCTGCATCTGTGTGTTATAAGATATAGAAATGTCAAGCACATTATAGATAATATATACCGGTATATATATATATAGCACTGTGGTTTACTGCCTCGTAAGTGAATGAGCTTGAAGGGAGGTTATAGTCAGTTTCTGCGTGCAGTGGGTCATGATAACAAGTCTGCACAGAGCAAAACCGTAGTCCCACCAAGAAATATCCCCCTAGTCTCTCAGAAAGTCTTCAGGTGAGGGAAATGTAAGATGATCACTTTTTCATATGGGGCGATTGGTGGGAAATGCAGAGCATAACATAAGGCCTGTTGGTAATAGAACCAATGGCTAATCCTGGTGATTGACAGCATCTGTTATTGGGTTTCCATCCAAGTGATGTCAAATTCCCAGTGAGAGCCTACTATTATGCATCTTTAAAATGGTTACCGGTAATTACTTGATTTTGATACATTAGCTTTCATTTATGTGTCAAATTAACAACTCATTTTTGTCTCGCCTGCCTAAGGTTAAGTTTTTGAATATTTAGTATAATTTTGAAAGTATAAGTTCTAATTTAATGAAAATTAGACTAAAGGGTTATCAAGTATTTCCAATCATGTGAGCAGAATTTCAGGTCACAAAATCAAGGTCAAAGGTCATTTCAGGTCAACAGACTTAGACTATGTAATGGCATCATCATCGAAAACTTAACCTCAGGTTAAGTTTTTGAATTTTTAATATAATTTTGAAAGTATAAGTTCTTATTCAATGAAACTTACACTAAAGGGTTATCAAGTATCCCCAATCATGTGAGTAGAATTTCAGGTCACTAAATTAAGGTCAAAGGTCATTTCAGGTAAACAAACTTAGACTATGCTGTGGCATCAACATCAAAATATTGAATTTTTAGAATAATTTCAAAAGTGTTTGTTCAAACATCATGAAACTTGTACACAAGGGTTCTCAAGTATCACCATTCTTATTTCACAATTTCCTGGTCACAAAGTCAAGGTCAAAGGTCATTTTAGGTCAATATGTGAGGATTAAAAAATAATTTTTTAGGGTTATTTTTTCATATTCCATTAAAGTTATTAATCTTGATACAAATTATAGTAAATACCGGTAATTCTTCCAATGACTCTTGGTCAATATTCACTTCAAAATGCTGATTATATTCAGAGGATTTCATTGGGGGGGGGGGGGGGGGGCTGTTAATGGGCCACTCTGCCTATGAATAATGTCCCAATCTCAATTTTTCATCATATTGAATTGCGTAATGCAGGGGAGACCGCCGAGAGCGTTTCCCTTGTTCTTCTTTGAGAAGGCCAAATTTGTCTAACCATCGATTTTCTAATTTCTTATAAACGACATGTATAAAAATTTCTTTTTTTAAAGTAACGGGAGAGAAAAGGTTTACAATATTTGTTATGACCAGCTACATGTGTGCTTCATATATTCCAAACAAGCATTTATTATGATACGACATTGGGAGCATATATATTATTTGCTTCTTGATTTGTTTCTTGAAAATTCGGTGTAATAGGAGTGCCTTTTGCCATGTTATGTGTTTTGGTAAGAAATATCATTAGGTTAAGTCTGATTTTTAAGGTTTTTGTATATGTAGCTACATGTATATTTTTATTTCATTTTGGGGGGTTCAAATTCTGTTCAGATTGTCAACACTTCTTGTGAGAGTGTATTTTTATCCTTCAAACTATTCAAAGGCATGAAGAAAAATGTCAATTTTAATATCAAAATTCATATAGTATTATAGTACACTATGATTTTCACAAGTATTGCCTAATCATTTTCTTTTCTCCTCTCTCTTTATTTTTTTTCATTTCTGAAGTAGTTAATTTAATCACTAGCATGAAAATAATTCACACCTATGTAAATGAATTACAACACACCGAAAGGCCATTGTTATTCATCTTTTTTTAAATGCATTACTTTCATTGTCAGACTGTAATATTACGCAGATGTCAAATACACTTGCCTGAATACATTATGTATGTGCTTGGAAATTGGAAAGTTTTTGTGTGCTTTGTAGAATTGCCTTAACAAGGAAATAATGCATTATGAATGCCTCTCTTCTGTTAGACACACAAAACTTTGTTACTTGAAATTTTAGTTTGCCTGCCTAGTTACAAGTGAATAAATGAGACATGTACAATACTGTCATAGCTGAGCAGTAAGTGGTAAAGGTTAGATCTTTTGACCGAAGATGCAAACATCATGGGGGTTACGAGTGCACAACATGAATATCCATTGGCATGATATAAAGTTAAATCTGGTACTCCGTAACTGGCTTTGCTAAATGGTAGGAAACTTCCTACTGAATGTGGTACATGCATGTTTGTATGTTTGTGATGACTTGGTAATAATACATTTTTCAAGCGCTCAAAGATGGCGATGTTAAGTGCTGTAGAAATCCAGGTTCTTATTATTATCATCATTATTGTAAGTAAGATTTAAACGACAAAAATATTCCATCACCGGTAGTTTTATTTTGTAACAGTGCTTCATTTGAACTTTATCATATATTTTTGTGAAAGTTTTCATTAATGCCAAAATGTCTTAATGCAGATTAAGCAACATACATGCAGTTCACAGTACTTTAGTAGGAAGTAGATTGATGAAATTCAAAGAACTTCAAGTAAATATTTTGTAATTTTTTTTCTTCCCCTGCCCTTTTCAGTATTGTTTTCATAAATACATTCACATTTCTTAGATTGTAGTTTTGTTCCACTTTCATTTTTTGGATAAATAAAGCAGTTGTTATTTTAACTTATTTTAAACAGGAAATATATTCAATAAAATGTTTATTATAGGTTTTGATGAAAAGCTCTGATGAAATTGCTACTATTGGATTGAGGACTTCTAAAAAAAGAAAAGATGGTCTAATCATGGCTCATTCCCGAAACAATGTCTGTGTCATCGCTGAATTTGCCACCAAGAATTGCCATATGTTCTTGCGATTAGATTTAAGGGGCAGTAAATCCGTGATGAATAATGTCTTCTTTCCATTGCAATATGTATTTATGTAACTGATGTTTCCTGTTTGTTTATTTAGTTTGACCAAATCAATTGCCAATCTTCTTTTCCCGAACTGTGCTGAAAATATGAAATTGCAACTGAAAATTTTTCCCAGGATTCCGTAATGAAGAAAAACATTTTATGTTTAGACAACTATAATTCATCATGCATGTATGTTAAATTTTATGAAAAAGATGTAATATGTTCCGACGAACTATAAAATGTAACGTCATTAAACAATCCTATTTGGTAATGTGTTTCCCCATGCTAACCTCCATACCAACAATAACAAATGAACATTCACGGTGACTTCAAAAGTTCGCTCAGTGTTCAACAGTTTTCAAGACATCCCACATTTTCAGAACAAAATACATGTTTTGTGTCTCTTTTGATAGATGTTGAAATGGGGTGCTTGTAAATTGAACTGTAACGCATTGATGCTGAATGCGCCTGTATATAAACATTTTGAAATGTACAAAGGAAAACTATTGTTTATGAGGTGTACCAGTATGTAACTATTAAATCAAATTATTGAAAGTTTATAATGTAGTCATTCATGATTCAAATGTTGAATAGCTTTTTCATCTGAAG